AAATAAAACCTACTCGTCATCGCGCGAAATCTGGTATATATATTCCTTGACTGGATGTCTAGAATGTTTTTCAAATACAAATACATCATTAAATTAGTTATAAGAATTAACTTGTAAGCATCTGTCATAATAAGAACCAAAATTTAATGCATTATCAAAATTTCCTCTCCAAAAGTAATTGCATTTAAAATAAACATGCGTGAGAGTAGCGAAAGAGGGCAGTCGGGGCGCGTGAAATACTAAATATAAAATATGATATTATTTACTATATACATATAAATCAAGAAAGCTCCAAAAATTTACCTTTAGACCATAATTATCATTTGAAATCTTTCGTTATGACAACATTTAAAACATTTGAGCTTACGAAAAAGTTTTACTTTTTTATCCGGAAAAAATTGTTTCTATAAAGTATGTTTAAATTTAAGTTAGAAACGCAACCTAATGTAATAAATAAACTAAAATAAAATACTCACGAATCACATAATTTTATTTGAAATTATATCACTACCGTGACATTTACTATAAGCTAGTAATAGGCAGTTTTTGTTTATTCTAGCGAATTTACGGCAAACATATCGTAACGGAATGCTTTCAAACAACCACAAAAAAAAATCAAAGCTTTTGGGGGCGAAAGGACAATACACTTGTTACCTAAACGTAGAAGTATAAAGTGATGTACGACCTTAAAAAAAAAACAGAACGCGAGAGGTCGTCGTGTTTATTGCTGCCTAATGGCGAAAAAAGAACACCCAAAAGCAAAATTTTCCTCAAAACACGTGCGCGGCGCGTGATGTGCATAATGTATGCAATTAAATAGTTAGTAGGTGCTCCCGCATTATTTACGAGTTAGCAAAGATATTGTACGTACAGGCACACACTTATCCTGCACAATCGTTATTTTATAAGTTTGTTAGAACAGCGTTATTTCATGAAAAAATATTTTTTCTTTTATTAAAATTATAACAATACGTTAATAATTGTCCTTTTCCAGATATGAATTTGATTTTTTTTTTTCAAAAAGTTCTTTTAAAAGCACGGTTTCCTTATTTTGAGGCACACAATTTACAAAGAGTACGCGTGGAGATTGAAAAATGAAGAAACAAGACGAAGAAGAAAGGGAAAAGGAAAAATTAAGAAGAGAAGAAGAAATGAAGAAGCGAAAGTTGTGCTACTGTACTTGAGAAAGGAAAAGTGCAAATCTCTTTGCACCCTTTGACTTTTTACTCATCATGATTTCGACAGCGATGAGGGGGAAGAGAGAAACAGAAAGATGTGACGGAAGCTCATAAATTGATGATTTGCAATATATAACATCATTTATCCAATTCTCAATCCAGCCGTTACAAATATGCATCAACACAAAACCCGCAACCTACGTTTCGGTGAAGCTGCAGTCGGATGTAGAAAGTAAATGTAATGCGGCCAACTGTCCCGTGATGCCAGTCGTAATCCCGGTTTACAAAATTTGTAAAATCCTGCCCTAAAACTTTGGATATGTTCAGCATGTCTATATTTATATACCTAATTTGTTGATTTACAAGTTTACTTGAACAACGCAGCATCTATTAAGACAAGCGTTGTGCGCATGTGCAGGCGGTTTGCGTGTTCGTGTGAATGTGGTCGAGTGCTTTCTTTCATTTCGATTCTAGTTGAAACGTTACGTGTAACGGTTATGAAAAAATTTTACATGGGCATTTGAAAAATCTTTTATGATGTTCTCGTTAAAAACTCAGAATTATCAAAAAAAAAAATGCTACGCAATTGAGAAATATGACTTCAAAAATAAACGATGATTGCAATAGGTAGATTGCGTGTGTATTTGTTTCCTGATTAAAGTAAACAACAAAACATCGGTTCTAAACTCCCTTTCGCTCCTGTCCTCGAAAAGTTTCGCAATGAATTTTTAAAAATTTTGCCGCCTTAAAGTAACCGATATATTTTCATCCTTGTTAACATTTTACCGAATCATTTACAATTTATTTCCAGTATTGCAATAGGAATATTAAACGCTCGGGAATTAGTAATTTGGCGCTTATTTTTTCGTGGGAATAAGTTTAATTGATAACGTTGAGCATGATACACAAAAGGTGCGGGATCGTCCGAGTCCGTCCCCGTGCGGACGTGACGAGCGCTCAAACAGCTCGCCCGCCTTCGTTTCGTATTTCCAGGGCCGTCTCTCTTTGTGCCATTTTCCCGCGGTCGGTTATCCCTTATGCGTTGGGAAAGTTTAATTACGTGAGCGGCCACGTGTCGGCTTTGAATAGTTTCAGTGATTTAGACAACCTAAGCGAATTCAGGTCGAACGCCGTTGTTATTTATTGTTCGATAGAATACGTTATCATGATAGATATCGCTCTTCGTCTCGTTCCTAATCCTGATTGCGGTCTCGGTTGCGATTCACGACCCATATGCTCTTGTTGGATGACGTTATGAGAACATTAAAGTTACGTTTATATTATCAACGCGTTTCGAACGTTTCGGCTTGATCCCTTTTTTCTTTATGTAACTCGACGTAAGAATTTGTTAAAAAGTTACACAACCTGTATGTTTTTCTGGTAGTTAAATAAGTTAAGAATTTGTAAAAATCATAAGGATGGTTTACCTACACATGAATAAAAAATAAACGAATCAACTTCAGTATTTTATCGATATGTTTCTAGAAGTCGTTAAGAACAGCCTGTAAATAGTAATTTAAACAACGAAGAATAACAAAATATGATGTTAAGTAAAATCAGTTAATTGTGCTATTTTATATTCATTACGAGTTTTATATTCTTGTTGTTGTTGTTAATTTTAAATTAAAGTAAAACAAATTATAGTTTGGCTCAAGCCACTTTTAAGTAAAAAATTAGGAAATGATGCCAGAAAGCCAATCGATGATTTGAAATATTAATAAAGATAAACGTGCCCGCCATTTCATACGCGCGGAATTTATTTTTAGTAAATTATAAAATTTTTCGTCAGCCAATTTTGACAAAATGTAGCTATATATGCTCTTAGATATGTTCATGTTACTCGAGAAAATCTCATGAACATTCAGCAAGAGTTTTGGAGATTAATGTTTTTTAAACAACAGACAAAGTTCTTAAAAGTAGTATTATTGTATTCTGTGTACTACCTATGTTACACGCAACTAATTAGCTTTTGATTAATATTTTCATTGTACTTTGACGATGCTTCAAATTTTATTGTAATTAGGTCGGAGAAAAACTTTTTTCGTATTTTATAAGTAAAAACTCGCAGTAAAATATCTTTAGTTGTGCTGTTTGTACCTGGCTAGTTTTGATACCATTAAATAGATGCCATTTGAAAATAAAAAATAAAAACGTCCCGCCATTTTTTTATTCTTTTTCTCTTCACCAAAACAAGTGAATATAACGTAAAAATTAAATACCATTTTTTGTAATGAAGGTTCATTACAAAAATGTGACAGAAGCCGTGAAAAATTCGAAACGTTTGTGAACCTAATGCAGTGTCTTAGTGCAGGGAATTAGTAGCACACAACTGGTTCTATCATTTTCAGTTCGGTAATTTTTATGTCATGACCCGCTCTGGTCGACCTGATGTGGATAAAGTCGATGTCATTTTGGAAAAAGTAAAAGAAAGTTAGCATGTTAAGTTAGGAATACGAAAAAGTTCGATACTTCGATCTCACACGAGCTCACTAAAAGTAATTTAATGAATTAAGTGCGCATTTGCGATTATTTATCGAAACGTGGTAAAACCTCTCCGTTTTTGAAAAGATTGATCACTGGTGATGAAAAATGGATTACTGACGATAAGAAAGTGCGAAGAAATCAATGTCAAAATTCAAGTAAGCTCCAAAGATATAGCGGAACGCGAATTAATTCGGAATAAATTTATGCTATGTATGGTGCGATTTGAAGTGCATTCAATATGAGCTTTTACCGCCGGTCAAAACCATCTAGATGAATCTCTACTGCCAACAGCTAATGAGACTCAGGCAAGAAGTAAAAAACAGCCTGCATTGATCAAAAGAGAGGGTGTCATTTTTCACTACGATAATCCCTGTCCACATACCTCTTTAGCCCCTTAGCAAACATAGAAAAAGTTTGTAGGTAAGAAGTGTAATGCATCCACTATATAACTCTGACCTTCCGCCCTCAGATTTTAACCTATTTCGGTCTCTTCAAATTTTTTAGGTAGTGTTAAGTCAACATCAAGAGAAGATTGTCAAAATTACTTGTCGCAGTTTTTTGATCAGAAGTCCCAAAATTTCTACAGCAATAATATTATATCACTACCTATAAAATGGTAACAAGTTTTTGAACAAAATAATATATGTAATAATTAAATATAAATAAAATATGACGAAAAATAATCTTGAATTTTAACACAAAATGTGTATAGATTTGATGCATAATTGAAATAATAGAAAATGTTTGAAGCTGCTGTGAATGATTTAGCTATATGCCAAATATTACCTTCACGAGTAAGGTTTGGGTCGTAGGCGTGCGAGTTGCAGTGATGGTAACTAAAATGAATAACCATGTTAAGAAAAAAGTATTACACTAAATAATAGCAACACTGGAGAAAGAAGCGAAAAGTAATTAAATGCAATACGTATAAAAGTTGAGAGAGTTGAAGCAATTAATAAATTTGTGTGTATACATTTTTTTATGTTGTTAAAAATGATAGAGACATAGAAGAGTAATTGCGGGTAATAAATTAAATGTGGTCTCGTTTGCTTTTATAAATAACGAAATTGTCTCATATTAATCAAAATACTTATAAGGCGTAGAAAATAAATCTCGGATGGCCTGTTCGTTATATCCCAACTTACGTAACACTAAAGAGGATAGAATATATGCATATTTATACCTATAACTGTATGGACATGAAGTTCCTCATCCCACACTTTCAACCCTCGGCGACATAAATTCAGGCCAGAAAAAGCGTCTGAATGACACTCTTGCTATAGTCAGCTCTTCAAAAGCTCGTCGTAGTGGTGCCTCCTACGCCGTCACGGCCGACGTCACGTCACGGTGAATACACCGGTTCTCGTGCGACCACCGAAGTTAAGTGGCGTCGAGCGCGGCGAGTACTTGGCTGGATGGACGCCCGGGAATATAGCGTGTGCTGGCTTTTTGCTGATGCATTTTGACGTGACAACGTCTTAAATTAGGTTGCGGCTGGGAGTCACTTATGAAAAAGGGTAACGCTCGGTAACGTAACGATGAGTCACCGAACGAGAGAGAGGCCCGCCGAATGCCTTGCGTCTCTCTCCCACTCAACTATGATCGGTCTGCCGCGCGCGCAGCACTAGAGAATTAGTGCATAGCTTGCAAATGTATTGCAAGTTATTGTATGTATATTTGTATATAAATACGTATGTATGTGTAAAGGTAAAAATAAAATTTTGTTAATATGAAATTCAGTGCGAGATTCTTTGTATAAATTAATGTTTTAAATATAATCTTTGTATAAATAAATGTTTTAAATTGTTACTATTATTTCATCCTTCTTCCTACTATACGAATGAATATTCACATTAAAATGATTTTACCATTCAAAGTCGTTGTCACGTAAAACTTTCGCCCGTATACCGACTTTACAGGCAACCAAATTTTTTTTTTTGCTTTTAATAGTGTTTATAAAACATGAACGATTCATTTAATTGTACCTGTTATTCAACATATAATATTTAACGAAAGGAACTATGTTGCAACCGTGCTGTGAGCCCATATACGATCTGTCAGGTTTTTTTTATTCTGAATTCGCACTCGTTTTCGTTTGATAATCTTCGAGCAAACATAAGAGTTAGAGATGACGCCTGTGCGTTGAAGAAAAATTATATTGTGATATGTTTCTCTATTTATGTTTTTTTATCTATAAATTTCAACTGAAATTAACAATATTTTTATACGGCCACAACCGTCTCGAAAAAGCATTTGCGTGATTATTTTTTTTTTGTCTTTGGACACATGCAGCACTATCTGTTCCCAAACTAAGATACGAAACTTGCGCTATGTATATCGGATACTTGATAGACTTTTTACATTTTTTTCGTAATAACACGTACAGTACATTGAAGCACCCAGACTCGAGACAAACATTAATATTGAATAAAAATTAACGTTTGCCTTGTGTGGGAATCGAACCCACACCCTCACCGCAGCGGGTAGGGCCACTACCTAATGCACTAATCAGGCAGTCCACTGATGTCGAGTCCAATACAAGGCACGGAATTCAGTACAGTAATTTATTTTGAATCATTATATCGCCGTAATTAATCAAAAAACGTCACCGAAACCGTTGAGCACATTTAAATCGCGTCGGAGCCTTAAACATACCCGAAGATTACAATTAAAGCTGTATAAATCCCGACCTCGGTAACTTCAACCGCCCCGCTCACAGGATTTCGGTACTTCAGTTTCACGATCCAGTTTCGAGGTTTAATTATCTAGTTTGTATTCCAATTTGAGGGACTTTGGATTAAGTTGCACGACAACAGTCGAATTTTGCACTGCGACTATGCTACTACCGTTTAAGCGAACACGCCCAATGAAATAAAGCTTTTTAAATTTCGACAAGTATTTTGTTAAGTGGACGCTGTGGTCCCTCATTCGCCTTACCCGCTGTTTTTCATCTGTTATTAGTGGTTTTCTATTTTTTTTTTGTAACCATTTATGTATTTATCGCTGAGTTAGAACGATCAAATTATTAAAAATAAAATTTTACTAAAATAGATTTTTCTTTTTTCTGCTATGACGAAAATCTGATATAATTTGGCAATACAACAGCACCTAAAATAAATCGCATTTAAAATAAATTCATTCAAGATACATTTAATACGTACGCACTTTATATACCGCGCTGCTAACCCGCGTTCCGATTGACGATAACGTGACTAAATACAGTCTAGGTGTTCTTAATTCTAGGCTATCTGTGAAGCCCCGAGCCGTTAGGTAGATAAATCATCGCCGGGTATCCTGCGTTCGTTGTTAAAGGCGGTGTGGCGATCGTAGTCGCGCGAGTCGGTTTTCGTAAATCCATTTTTATATGTGTGCAGCTGCTTCTTATTGCCGGCAATTATAGGTAAATATAAGGCAATGCCGGCCTTTCTTTTATAAAAAAAAAAACTTGTAATGGCTCGTGGCTGCGTTCGCCTGGTCATCAAAATGAATTCCTTCACCGTTGATATTGGTTCTGTTCGAGTCTGATGCCCGACTTCGTTAATCTTGATTCGGATCTAGGTCTAGTTTTCGATTCCGATTCAGGTTTCGCTGTCAACTTCTCAGGGGGACGTCTATGTTGTCTATGACGTATTATGAAACCTATTTTTTTAGTAGTGTCTCATGTCAATCAACGGTATGAGCATGTGCAGTGCTCCGATGTGCATGCCGCTTATATTAAAAAAATGAGAAGGAATCCTTTTATAAAAGAAATGTAAGAAAGAATATGAAAAGAAATCCTTGATGATTGATGAGATCTAATAAATGAAGCTTTGGAATATCTAATTGAATCTTTCTTATTCTCATCTCGTATTTCAACTTGAGAAGTGGATCATTTGAATCATAAAAGTTTTACCGGCGGTGAGACATCCTTTGAATGCTAACGACAGTCGGCCGACGGCGTTCACGCGAAAACATCGCAGGTCCCGAAGTGCCGGCGACCGATTCGTTTATATAGAATTTTTTTTTATTTTATATATATATATATATATATATGTATATTTTTTTATATTTCCTAAATAACAACAAAGCAAGTTACGTTTCGTTTAAACAATGATCTCTTCTTATTGTTGTATTAAATTTTATCTACCCCGTTACGGAGGCATATCCTTTCACAATCTTTTTTTATATCCGAGGTTTTCGCTCTTGCGAACAGCGCATATTTAACTTAAGTTTTGACTTAATTTGATTTTTCAAATCCTCACTTCGTGCCTCTGAAAGCACGCTAACATGTTGCCCCGGTCGTCGTCGTCGCATTTGATTGGTTTTCTTCCATCGATACAAAGTTGGGTTAAATTGGTTTTGTATAAATTCAGGTGTCGATAAATTATCCTGTATTATTGTATTTAGACAACTATTCATATACAAAAGAACTGTTCAATTTACAGAAGAAGTCGTCAGAATACAGACGGTCTTGACGACCGTCATCCATGATACGACGGGAACAATGAAAAATATTCCTTTTGGGATTTGTTTTTGCGACGGACGAGTAAACTCGAAACATTGCTAGGGCTAACAAATTTCGTAACGATAATATTTCAAAATACAGTTTCTTACCAAGTAATGCTGCGTTTAATACAATGACGTCAAACTACTGACTTTTGTGGCATTTTTGAAAGATAAACGAGCACTTGCACCGCCAAAAGTAGGTGATCACCGCCGCCACTAGGCTTTCGCAACTCCAGAGAAGTCCCGCTGCTGCGCTAGTGCGCTGCTGTCCTCTTGAGTAAGAATGAGATATTTAATGGGGGGGCGAGTGGAGGGGACGAGTGGGCTGATCGAGGGGGGGTGGACCAAAGTGAGCGCGGTAGATAGCAAGTACTAAATATGAATGATGATTATAATCAATCTTTTTTATTCACAAAGAGTGTCGTATAAAACTGATTTAAGTTTTCTAATAATACTTTATTTATTTTTTACTAACGAATCGATTATGTAACGTAACAAATTAGAAAATATTAAGTAACAAGTTATTTGTCTTTGTGGAAATATGATTTTGAAAAACGAGTAGTATCAATTATTGTGTTATCTTCCAATCTACTTTTTAACCAACTACAGATGTAGCCGTATACGTAATATGGTCCATATGCGGATTCGTAAGCTGTCGAAGGGTCCCGCACGACCTAAAATTATCATTGATCCTCGTGGATTGTAAATTCTATCTTTGCTATATTTCAATCGCTACTAACAATATGTATGTTATGTTTTTTTATAATAATTTTAGAGCCATATTTTTTAACCCAGTACTCTGTGTATAACTAAAGGACTAGTTCATTTATTCTAGTTTCAACTTTCCACTCATAAACATCCAACATATTTTTAATTCTAATCCCAAGTAGTAATATCGTTTGACTCGCTAAGTCGTAATGCGTTACATTTCGCACCCGCGTCGGCTCAACGCTTAATCGTGTAATACGTAGGGCGCACATTTTTGAAATTTTCTGGACGAAAATGTCTGGAATGAATGAGAAAAAATTATTATGAATGATCGAAAATGAAATTATTGTTTTTAAAATATTCTCCGTTAGCATAAACGCACTTTTTCATACGAATAAATCAATTTTGAAAACATTTATGCCAATCTTCCCTGGTGACCTAAGAAACATGTTTTTCATACTCTTCGACAGTCTCTTCTGGTCATGAAAATCGATGTGCGCGCAATTGGTTCTTAATTTTGACGAATAGAAACAAGTCACAAGGAGCCAGGTCTAGACTGCACGCAGGATTGCTCATAAGTTCTACGTTTTTCTCCTTCAAAAACTTTTTCGTCTGTTTGGCCTCTGTGAGGATTGAAAAGAAACTATAGCCACGTATCCAGTTTTATTACAAAAGAAGCAAGCCTTAAAGGCACTTCACCCGCACGGGATTTTGGTTGGTTTCAGCTCATTTAGATAAACCCATATGCTCGACAACTGCATTATTTTGGGGTCGTATCAATAAATCCATGTTTTGTCATCTATTGCTGTGTTCCACACCAAATTTGACGCCTCTTTCTTGCATTTGGTAAGCATGACATTGCCCAAGTGATGCGGTACGTTTTTTGAGCTTCAGTCAAATTGTGTGGAAACCACCGCGAGTACAATTTTTTCATACCCAAATGTTTGTATAGAATTGATTGTATTAAACTCATGTCTGAGGATGGCCAAATCTCATGGTAGGTTACATACCTGTCTATTTTGACCATAAGGCGCACAGCATTGATATTTCTGTCGTTCACGACGGTGGACGGGAGACCATCACGAAATTCGTCACAGAGATTGACACGACCGCGCCTGAATTATACACAATAACACTCTGCAATCTAGCTATAAATAGTAGTCTTGCATGGTGCTTCATCGCAAAAAGCAGTTAGAAGACAAGCGAGGCTCTGATGAGCAGTCAAATTACATTTTGAATGCTCATA